AGGTGCCCTGGAGCCTGGACTGGGCCCCTTCTGCTCTGGGCAGCGCTGCAGATTCCTGGGGGGAGGAAGCACTCCAGGGCAGGCTCCTGAGGAGTGGGTCCTGGGAGCACTGAGGTCTGCCTGAAAAGGGAGGAACTTACTTCCTTCCCTCCCTCGCTCCCTCCCTCCCTCCCTTCCTTCCTTCCTTCCTTCCTTCCTCCCTGCCTCCCTCCCTCCTTCCTTCCCTCCTTTCTAAGTAGTAGCAGCAACAGCCTCCCTCCTCCCTAAGTAGTAGCAGCAGCAGCAGGGGCTCTCAGAGAGGTGGGAGGCGGCTGGGGTAGAGGACTGAAAAGCTAGGCCTGGGCTATGGGGACGTGCACAGTGCTTGGGCTGGGGCCTGGACTCCAGCCACATCTGGGCTGCTGCATCCCCTTAGACATGGACCTATACCTCACCAGTCTTTTCAGTGGGAATGATCCCTGAGTGGGTTCTGCATGCCCAGTTGGCAGAGTGGCCAAGGGGCCGCCAATGTGCCAAGTTTCCCAGCCAGGCCTGGCCCCCGGGAGGCCCTGCTAGTACTGGGACAGTGGGCCCTTGAGAGGAGCCATGGGGGCCGCAGGGTTCCCACCGAAGACAAAGAGCCCAGTGTGGGCTCCAGCCTCTCTGCTCTGACCAGCTGCAGCTGCCTCATTGGCAAGGGATGGGGGTGGGGGTGGGAGTGGGGGTGGTTAGTGGGGGTCACGTTCCCTTGGCCAGGGTTGCAGCAGGACAGTCCCTGACCAGCTTCTGGTCCCTTGGTGACAGTTGAATTTAAATGCATCCTGTTAACCTACAAGACCACTTCCAAGAATTTACCCCCTGCATCATAGCATGTGAGCCTGGAGATGAATGGCAAGGACAAGGGACATTGAGGCATGTGCTTATATCCTCACCCTTGAAGGCTAAAATCTCAACTCTCCCACTTGTCACCTGTGTGACCTTGGGCAAGTTACTTAAGCTTTCTGTGCCTCAGTTTCTTCATCGGCAAGATGGGATTGATAATGAAAATAACAGTACCTACATCAAAGGGTTTTGCCAAGGATTAAATAAGTTACCAATGATAAAGCATTCAGAATAGTAGAGTATTTGTCACTTAACATGTGTTTGTTAAATAAAACACTTGCTGGCTGAGCTCAGTAGCTCACATCTGTAATCCCAGCACTTTAGGAGGCTGAATAGGGAGGATCACTTGAGACCAGGAGTTGGAGACCAGCCTAGGCAACACAGTGAGACCTCGTCTCTATAAAAACTCAAAAAGTTAGCCAGGTGTGACAGTGCACATATGTAGTCCCAGT